ATTAATTACACGCTTGCTGAATGAATAATTAGATTAACTGAAGGTTGACTAGACATGCGTAGAATTTGGTATTAAATCAAAATTAATAGCAGTCAGACACATGTTTATAGAAATACTGGCAGTTATCCTGAAGCTGGGTGATGTTTCAAAAGCTCTTAGGTGGGGATTGTATGGAGCTCAAAAGCTTGTTTTCCAAAAAAACAGTAAACGTGGTGATTAATTCAGAGACTGTCCTATAAAGCCCACTTAAAAACAGTGAAGAGCAAAAAGAGAATCATTTGAATTTTGAAAGCATAAAATTTATCTTCCAACTTGGGGAAAAGGTTGACTAGGACAAAAATAAGAAGTAGACACTTCTGTAGAGAATTTGATAGACTTTAAAAAAAAACTTAAAAAAAAAAGATTTATTTATGCATACAAGAGCTGGGGTACAGGCCAAATATGTGGGGGTGGGGGGGGTGAGAGGATTCACCAAAGACAGAGTGGGGAACAGAACAGACAGACTGACTGACACACTGCTGAGGGGAGCAGCGGGCAAGACAGGAGAGGTCTGCTGCGCCATGTGGGTTGCTCCCTGGCAAGCCAGGGATTGAACTTGTGCAGCAGAGGCTGCGGATTGCTTCATAGTGCTGTGCTTAACCCCTTGCGCCACCAGGGAGGCCCCTTGATAGACTCTTTTGGACATTTATGTGGACTTCAGAAACTGACATTACGGCTTTTTAATTTTGTTGTTGCTATTTCTCCTACAGACATGGCATTCTTTTTCCATGTCAAGCATCGTACTTCTCTTGTTTATTAGCCATGATGAGGGAGGGATAGTCTTTGGAGAAGAGACTGGAAAGAAAATGTGTTGAAAATTCATTGGATGCTGTGGTAACAGGGTAGAAGGTGAGGAGGGAGGGAGGAGCAAGTAAATATGCATGAATGACTGTGTGTTATTGCTGGAAGTGAGTGAGGTAAAAATGCTGAAAGAAGGAAAAAGGGAATTCAACATAGGTGTGATGAAAATGAGGTGAGGAAAAAAAAATGGATCTAATAGCTTTTCCTTTGTGGCTGTAACTCAGGAGTGAGAGGGAAGGCCGTCTGGCTGAGCAGGAACCCATGGCAATGAGGAAAGGAAGATAACGGATTTATTTATTGCCTGTCCATGTACCAGGTGCTTGTTCGGGCCATGTAAATACAGGCCAAGTGCTTTGTGTTTTATCTTAATTTAAACCTTCCCACAATCCAGAACTGTTATTATTCCCACTTTACTGAAGAAAAAACTAAGGCTCATAAAAGGTAAGTATTTTGCCTCAGATAATGCACACCCAGTTTTACTTGGTTTGAGAGCACCTCCCCCGAATAGGGGTTCACATGCGGTGTTGTCAGTGGGGAGGTCAGTAGGGCTGAAGGACAGATCCTATGCATTCAGCAGCAGGAAGAAGGAAGAAACAGGAAGAGAGGAAGCTGAGGCTTGACTGGGGACATATGTCTCCACCCCTCTCCCTTTTATGAGAGCTCTTAATTCTCAATAGTCTTTTCAGTCAGAAAGGAATTTGGGGGAGGATCCTGGTCATTATGGAGATGGTCAGAGGTGCGAAGGGGTGTACCTGCCCGATTTTTTAAGATATTATTATTCATACAAGCACTGGGTACAGTCAGAAATGCCGGAGGATGAGAGAATTCACCAGAGCCAGAGAAGGAGGGAGCAGAACAGGCAGACTGACGAAATACACTGCTGAGGGGAGCAATGGTCGCGACAGGAGAGGTCTGAGCGTGATGTGGGACCCTCGCCGGTGGGCTGGGGATCGAACCGGCGCTGCAGAGGCTGCAGGCAGCTTCGCAGCCCAGCACTCAGCCGCTGCGCCACCGGGGAGGCCCTCCACCTTATATTCTTAACTGAAAGTGTCCTCTGCCAACCAGGGGAATCGGTAGAGTTCAGCCCAGCAGCCATCTGGGTCAGCAGTGGACATGGCTCTCATTCAAACACACCCGCTTGCCCACTCACCTCCAGTCGGCCAGCTGCTGGGTGCCCGCCATGGTCTCAGGAATCACAGTTGCGTGCTGCACCGATGTGTGGGTGGCCACTCCCGTCAGCTGCTGCCACGCTGGGGGGAGCAGGATCTGTTGGGTCCCACTTGGCCAGGCCTGCTGTAGCACAGAGGACATTTGCAGTCACCAAGCTTGCTAATCACATTACCAGTTTGTATGAAACGTGCTTATTCTGTGTCTGGAACTTCTCCTGTGCTAGGTCCTATGTGGGTGTGAAGTGGAAACCTGGCCTTTGGCCTCAAAAACTAAATTGAGGGGAGAGAAAATGAACATGTCAGAACTCAACAGAACTGTATGGAAGAAATTAATTTGTGTTGAAGAGATTTATTTATAAATTTTCTTTAATGAGCAAAGCTTAAAGTTTCTGAAAGTTCATTAATGATTCATTGTGTCACACAACTACATGCAAGAGAGTGAGCTGGGTCAAACAAGTGCAACTCTTTGCCCTCAAGAAGTTTTCCATCTAGTATCTTTTATTTAATATTTTATTTATCAATTAGAATCTGGATGTCCAACTTACATTATCTTCTTAAGTTAACATAATTGCGATCATCAAATATCTGGCACTTGCCTACATTTGAGAGCAAACAAATGTAAAGTTAAATTTTTCTTTTATTTTTTTCATTTTTAAAAGGACAAATTTATGAGGAGAAAGAGAATGGAAAGGAGCAGCACCTGCACAAACACAGGTGGGCAAAGCTGGCGCCGTAAAGTTAAATTTTAATTGGGATTTGGAACTTAATTGAGGATTACTTTGGCCCTTCAAAACAAAAATGAGAGAGTACGGCCCACAGCTTAATTCTTCATAAATATTAAGATTTTTCTTATGAATCTATAATGAGTTTTTATGATTCCTCCTTGAATAGACATTTCGTGTGTGTGTGTGTGTGTGTGTGTGTGTTGTATTGTAAGCTCTCTGTATCCTCAATCTTTTTGATATCACTTGGCAGGGGGGTCTGGAAATGCCATTAACATTAATTCACACAGAAAAAATTTTGTGAGCATTGCCAAACTCAAAAAATAACCTATCAAATCATATCAAATAGAAACTGTATTTTTGGATAGTGGCGGGGGGGAATCTATATTCTGCTTGCCTTTGGTTATTAAATGATCCAGGTTGAACACTGCTGTCTAAAGTTAGACACTTAGTGGGCCTCCCCTGGTGGCGCAGCAGTTGAGCGCTGGGTTGTGAGGCTGCCCGCAGCCTCTGCAGCGCCAGTTTGATCCCCAGCCACCGGCGAGGGGCCCACAAAAAAAAAAAAAAAAAAAAAAAAAAAAGAGGTTCTTAAAGTTAGACACTTAGGTAAAATACCTCTTGGGCAGGTTAAGGATTTAAAGCTTTGGGATCTTAGTTATTGCTCATATTCCATCAAGCTGGACATGACTCACACTGGGTAATCTGTATAATATAGTGCTCCACCAACTGCATGTGTGTTTAGGCTCAAATGTCTAAACAAGCACTTCTGGAAACAGATTACACATTTGAGTCAAGACTTAATAGTGATGTGTATAAAAAGGACATAACCACATTTTAGATCTGAGTGGACAGTTCACTTGGTCCACCTTTCTCATGTAGTAGATGAGGCCCAATGAGCTCTCATACTTTTCTGATAGTGCCTGTTTGCTTATTGATCTGTTTGATATAGGCAGAAAGTTTGGGGACCACAGATTATGCAACAAGTGCTTAATATACATTTGTTGGAAAATGAAGGAAGCAATTCTACCAAAGCTATTAACTGCAGTTAACTATATTTCAGGTTTGCTGAATTCTAACACAGTAAGTAGAACTGACGGGTAAGTTCAACTCCTTTGAGATGACATTTCATCAGACATTTCTATAATTTAGATGGATCACTACCTTATAATAAATAAGAGTAGAGCTAATATTTTGATTCATATTGTATGCCCAGCACAGAGTTAAGACCATATGTAGGTTTTCTGACTGCATCTTAAACACCAATCCTGTGAGGTACAGACTATTATTTCCTCCCATTTTTCAGGTGAATAAATGAAAACAGACAGGCTAAATAGCTTGCCCAGAAATACAGTAAGTTAAACATATGCACTTATTGCTCTCTATCTAAACCCAACTTAAATGATAGTGAAGGAATAAAAGAATATCTAGACCCAAAAAGACAAAGACAGCAGGGAGAGACAAGAACAGTGAACAAAATTTTAGAAGCTGGAAAACACAAGAGCGATTCCAAAGTGAGTTAGCAGGCTGGGGAATCTCTGGTCAAGTCTGCATGTTAACACACGAGTTTCCTTCACTTGTCAGTTCCCAGACTCCTGGCAGGTAGGTGCATGCTCTGCCCTCACTCTCAAGTCCCTCACCCTCCAAAAACAGGAGGCTGGAAGATTCTCTCTGGGGAAACCAACTAGTCCAAGAGAAGAAACTGAAGATACATTTGAAGATCAGGGTTTCTGCCAATGAGAATGTTCAGCTCACTGACAGAGAAGCTTATATTCAACAGTCCCGTCTTCCTGCCCCCAAAGTCTCCCAATTCGTGTTTTAGTGCTTCAGTCTCAAACATGAGTGAACAGTCAAGGATTAACAGGGTATTAAAGTCCATTTCTAACAAGAAAGAGAATAAAAAAATTAAAAGAAACAAAAAAAGTATAGGAATTAGAAGAAAATTTCCAAAAATCTGTAATTAATATCATCATAGAGTTAAAATATATATGTATATAAGTGTGTATACATAGTATATATGTATAGTTAGATAGATATGGACATAGATATCCATATTCAGAAGATAAGAACTCTTAGAAATGAGGATTATGACAATGGACATGAATACTTCCAGAGAAGATTTAAAAAAGAAATAAGGAGGGCCTCCCTGGTGGCACAAGGGGTTAAGATGCAACCTATGAGGCTATCCGCAGCCTCTACAGCACGAGTTCGATCCCCACATGGCGCAGCAGACCTCTCCTGTCTCCCCGCTGCTCCCTTAAGCAGTGTATTTCAGTCAGTCTGTCTGTTCTGTTCCCCACTCTGTCTCTGGTGAATTCTCTTACCTCCCCCCCAACATGTCTGGCCTGTACCCTAGTGCTTGTTGCATAAATAAAATAAATCTTTAAAAAAAAAGAAATGAGGAAAATCTCTCAAAAAAGTAGCATACATAGAATATGTGTGTATATAGAGAAGAGGGGGAGAAATGATAGGAAATCAGAGTATCATTTCAGATCAATCCTATTAATGAGAATTTCACAAAGAAGGAACAGAGAAAATGGAGGGGACAAAATTAACAAGGAAAAATAAAAGAAAAAGTAACAAATTAAAAGGAGGTAAATAATGTGTCCAAGACAATGTGTGAAAAAGACCCACAAGAAAGCATGTGGACATTTCAGACCATGTGGACATTTCAGACCATGTGGACATTTCAGACCATGTGGGCCAAAAGGATCCTAAAAGTTTTCAGAAAGACAAAAAAGCAAGCAACCAACCAGATGCCAAATTTTTCAGAATGCTCAAACCTGTCAACACATCACACACAAACCTTTTATGGCTCTGGAAGAGTTCAGGGTGGCATAATAATAGATGCAGAAGGAAACCAACCCAATGAAAATCTGAGGCAACCACTAACTCCAGGAAAAAAGTTGCACAGGATAGGAAATAGAATCAATGGATACAATGAGTCTAAGCTGAGAATAATTGATGAATTGATAATAATTATGTAAATACTGCAAAGAGACTGAATGAAAGAATTGTATGAGAGAAAGAAGAGAAAGCAGAGTGAAAATGTATAATCCCACACATGCTCAAGTATGCTTGTATGTACAGGGATGGGGTGGGCTAGAGAACTAAAGTTTCACCTTCCATCAGTCCCTACTCTGATCAGATTTGGTGGTAACTGCATAAAGGTGGCATGAAAAAAGTCTTCCTTGTTAAGAAAGTATAGAAACATATTCGTTAATAGTATAGAAACTGGTAGCAAGACAATGGACGGAAAGACTGGTTGTTGGAAATGTTACTAGGGAGGTTTTGAGGGAGAAGCATTGAGATTTAGTATTTTGGACAAACTAAAGAGTTCAGGTCAACAATTTGTCCTTAGGGAAACATTTCAAGGGGCTCGTGTGCTATATATAGAAAACAAAACCTTCTTTCTGGAAGGGTGGACTCCACAAGAAATCTCAGATCTTGAGGGACTCAATTTCTATTCCTGCCTTGTTGTTATCAGAGAGGATTTGGATCCTGTCATTTGAAAAGTGAGCTAAAGTCAATATTTCAGTTAAGAATGGTAATACCCATCTCTTCATCTTTACCTACTCATACCTCCTCATTCACAATTTGATGATGGTCAAGAGGCCAACCCTGGCTTGGGGTTGGGAGGATGGAGGTGACAGTTTCCTTCAGGCTGTACCAAATGATGGGGTGTAATCACACCCTGCCTTTCATGCACATGTCTTTGGGGTGCCCCAGAGACTGTTTCCCTTTGAGGGGACCTGTGATGCAGATGGGAGGATTGGGAACAGGACAACACAAATGAAACTAGCATGGGAAGTGGATTCAAAGACATCATTTCTAAATTCTCACATTTAAAACCCCTGAAAAGATTTAAACATTTACATGTGAAAATAAGAACCACGTCAACTTTTGAGATATATTTAAAGAAAATAATAGTATTTGGAGTGTTGCTGCCTGAAACCCAGAGAAAAATGAAGGCATCAGTTTAGCTGTTTGAATATAGCTTTTTTACAGCTACCGTACTCATTTTATAAGTTCGTTTATTTTTGACCTTTGCAAGGGCCACTTACAAATATCCATGAGAATGAAACTAGATGGTGATCAGAATGTAATATTTACAGATGTGGGAAGATAAAGGCTGCACACCTGACAGTTATGCAATGTGATAAACCCAAAAAAAGTTACCTGAAAAAAAAAAATCGACGCGAGAGCTCTACCTTAACAGTCTAACATACTGACAAGGATTAAGTGACAAGCAGAGAGAGAGAGAGAGAATAAAAAAAGCAACTACCAATAAAAAAAGAAAGACAATGCGATATTACATGGGGCAGGGTAGGAAGTTTTTTACTTAATGTATCTTAGAAATCTTCTCACTTCAAGATCCTCTGGCTACCCAGTCCTTCTTAATGGCTACATGGTATTCTATTTTACGCATGCAGTTTAGTTCACATTCAGTACCTGCCATGGTGAACGTTTGATTTAGTTCTAGTAGTTCCCTGTTGTAAACACCGCAACGATTAAATACCTTCAACATATATTTTTTGTTCAATTACAGCTTTAGGTTAAATCCATTTGCAGATTTACAGCACTCTAGGGACTCTTTCAAGTAAGCAAAAAGTAAAACTCTTCCCTGCTATGTTTAAAGGACTGAAACAAATTCAGAAATGCTAAGCCTACTGGTTTCCACCAAACTGAGCAATGAAAAATGTCTATTTTAGCTAATAAGAGATGCTAATTATTGTTTCTTTCAAGAGATGGTTCCCAGCTACTAGGGTTAAGTGTGCAAACACAAAGAGGGCTCTGTAATTACCCTTTAAAGCACACATAGTTCTGTAGGTTTTGGCTCACAGAGGAGCACCTGGGGGATCGGCCTAGAATTCTGCTCCTCAGATAAAGGAGGAACAAGTGTTTTTGCCCATGGAGTGAGCTGTAGTTTGTTCTCTTGATCTATCTTGGCCTTTTGTGAACTCCCCACTACCAAACTGTGCAAATAAAAGAAAGCAGGAGACCGGTGAGAGGAGGGAGCAGAAAACCTGCTTTAAATACAGAAGGACTTCTGTTTACACACTGTGCGTGCTGCCCGGAGCCGGTGTGGGCGGTCGCCCGCAGCGTTGATTTGGATATAAGAACAAAGAGACCAAGAATGGGTAATATCAATCTTAAGCTGCTCTAGAAAAGAGAAGAGGTAATAATGTCCGACCTATTCAAGGTGTAACCTTGATATTCAAATCAAGTATTGATTCGATAAGAAAGTACATGCCATTTTTCACTTATGAACAGTGATGCACAAATCCCAACTACATTATGTATGAATGATCCAGCATCAAAACTCATAGTCACAGCAGACATGCACAATCAACTGAAACTTATCTCGGAAAGAAGCAGTAAAGCCTGGTGGCTAAAACATGCTCATGTCCGACTGGGGTCTGTGTCCTGGATCTGTCACGTGATTGCTGTGTGACTTTGTGCCAGGGATGGCAGTTCATTCTCCCTGCTTGTCAAGTGGAGACAAATCTCTCACTGTGTTGTCGTGGGGATTAAATCAGTCGACAGCAGTAAAGTGCTTGGCATAATGATGATGTATTTTAACTAAGGTTCAAGCATCCGTAAGGACAGAATCTATTATCATTGCATCACTGTGGCCTTAACACTTTACACACTGCCAAGTGCTTTCACCTCTGTGATCTCTTCCTACTGTCAGAGAGTGAACAGATAAGGAAGGTTCCAGCTCAAGTCTTCTGTGATTCTGGTTTTAAAACTATAAAATAAGGAGGTAACCTCCAAGTTTCCTTTTTAGCTCTTAAAATAAAATCTATTTTACAAGGGAAGTTTCAGGCCAAGGGAAGTTTCAGGCCAAGATGTGTTAACCGACTTGCCTTAGGTCACAGCCGCTATTAGCAGACTTAGGATTAAAACCTGGGTCTCCCATATTCATTTGCATGACAAAGATATAATAATACTAATAATTTCCCTAGACTCCCCCATCTACACTTCTCCGGAGTGTAAGGAAGACACACAGGATGGTGAATCACCTACTGTCTTTTTGATTGTTAACCGAGATATTCTAATGACTTGAAGCACCTAAGTTGTCACCAGGTGGGAACAAGCAGAGACAGATCTCTTGTGAGCGTTATTACCGAGACAATGGCAATACTGGTAACAGCAGAGAAAGAATTACCTGGGCAAGCAGTCCTGGTTGGATCTGAAGAGGCTGAGCTCCGGGGGCTTGAGTGACGATGGGAACTGCATTTTCCATGCGCACGGAGTAGCCCGCGTGCTTAGAGGGAGAGGCCTGCAGTCCTGTTCCAGAGAGTGGGCAAGGGAAGGAGGGGTGAATGACAGGAACAGTGGGAACAGGAGACTCTTCCTAGCCAGGTGTGTCCAGCTCTCCACTCCCCTTCCTGTCCCCACAGGCCCTGTCTGGACTCGGCAAGTCTCCCCTGTCGTTTCTAACTCGAGATTTAAAGTAAAAAAAACCACCTTGCATGTGTTCAAAGGCTTGGAGGTCAGCAAAAGCCACAGGTGGAACGGTTATGCTGATAAATTAGCACAGAGAAGCTACTGCTTGAAGATCTATGGGGGGCGTCAAGGCCAGCACCTCAGGGAGACTGCGCCACGCCCATGCTTGTGCCTCGCAGCTTGCAAAAACACATTCTCCAGCTTTCTGTGGAAACTGTAGCCAAGGACACAGTTAACTCTAGCTTCTTAGGGTTTTTGGGAGATGAGGGTTGGGGTGCATGGCCAAAGGCTGCTGGGGTGGGGGATGTCCTGGGAGGTACTTCTCACACAGAACTAGGCCTTGTTGGCTGTCAGAGATGGGCAGTTTCTGGATATTTCACAGGAGGCAGTGCAAGAGCTGACATCGGCATGAAAATATGCTTACTGACAGACAGCCTGCCAGGGACAAAATGACTGGCAGGTGGTGAGAGCAGCAAGGTGTCTTGGGCTGAGCATAAGTCCTATTGTTCTAGGCTGGCCGTGAATGAACTAAGGCCCCTCAGTTCATTTGTGCCAATGCTCTCACCCAAAGAAACAAAGAGGACTTGACTTCAGGGGAGTCAGTGGGACAGAAAACTGCAGGGGTCAGCGCCCAGGGGTTGTCCAGTCAGAAGCAGGCGAGAGGCTGTGCCTGCTTGTCCTTACCTTGGAAGCCGGGTGGACACACGATGAGAGCTTGCTGGAAGGGGTCTGGCCGGGCGCAGATCTGGGCTGTCCCCGTCTGCAGGGGCATGCTCCGCTGGGCCACCGCAGCCATGGACGCCGCTGAGGGCTGGTAGAGTGCAGATTGGTAGTTTAGTATGGAGACTTCGGGGTTGGATAAGGAAATAGTGGCACTGGTGGAGGAGGGAGCCTAAAGGAATGACGGGGATTGAACAAAAATAAACAAAAATAAAAAATGAGGGTGGTGGCATGGGGGGAGACACGAATCCAAATCAAGTAAATGAACTTAGAGAAGAACCAACAAACAAAAATCAAGAGCAAAAATGCCAGAACAGAGGCGGTGGAAATACAGCTGAAAAGTCTCAGGGAAAAGCACGTAGCTATGGCCACGTGACCGTCGCTGCTCAACTCAGGCCCGTTCCTGGCATTTGCAAGGCTCAACCCAGTGGAAGTTGCGTGCCCGGTGCCTAAATATGGCAGAGCTGAAAATGAGGTTGGAAATGGCCTAAGACTTGCTCTTCCACTTCAGCAAGCACACCTTCCTGACAACCTGGAAGGCCAGGCTTCAGGTAAGATTCTTGGATTCTTTGGATTCTGCACTGGATGCACTAACGGGGGAGCACTGCCTGCCCCCACCTTATCCCACAACTTGAGGGCCTTTGATCCACATATGGACCTGCCAGCCATGTGCCCAAGCTCTGCACGCTCCCCTCTGTGTGGAGCTGGTGAGTGGCCCATACTCAGGAGGATGACCTGGGAAGAGGCCCTTGCAGGCCTGGGCCCAGCTTCCTGGAGCTTGGAGGAGGACAGAGGAGGCCTGGGAAGGGCCCCTGCTCAGGTCTGGGTCAGTGCTGCTTATAGATTCTCCGGGATGGCTGCAGGCTTGTCACTGCAAATCAACATATGCTGGAAGAAGGGAGAGGGACAGGCCGAGGCTGGGGTTTCTGGCTTGAGTTTGGTGTATTCTTAGCTGGAGTTCAGCTATCAAGGCTGGAAGGCAGAGAAAAGTGGGCCAAGACGACTTTCCTGGAGATGGGTAAAGCAAATGAAGTTATGTGCTCTCTCTTTCAGAAAGAGACATCAGCTGAGACTGAACTTCCATGGGAAGCAAGGCCATGGGCGGAAAAGAAATTCTAAACCAGGAATTCTCCAGTTGCACCCCATCTCTGCCTTAGCTTCGAGTTCACGGTGTTTATATGAGGTTTTGCCAATCAAGTTTGCAAGGACTACAGAATAAGGAGGACGAAGCGAGCACACACACGCGAAAGAGACTTTCAAGGAGGGTATGGAGGCCTGTCAAAATTGATGAAGATGTTTGAGTTTCAACGCAAAGCAAAGCCATTTGCAAGTAATCACTAAATCATAGGGCATGAGAGAGAACATTTGGATTGTAAGATTCAGTCACAGTGTCTGTTCCTACAGCATCCCATGGTCACCTCTGGTAGCCTGGCTGGGAACGAGGTGGGCAGCATCTGTTACGGGTGACGTGACTCACGTTCCCCTGTTCTGTCGGCACAGACAACAGTTCCTGTGCTCAGACTCTGCAGCCAAGGTGCATACTCTCCCCAGGTCTTAGCACCTCAGGGTTTTCCTCGGTGTGGCACCCACATCCTCTGGCCCCCACCCAGGTGGCTCGGCTATGTCACCTTCCGGTCAGTCCCTGATCCTGCCGCTTCTTCTTCTGAAAGGGCCCAGAAACCAGGGCTCTTTTTAGTGGTGACTTCCTCCATGGAGGCGTTCCATGCCCGGACAGCGGACAGCCCTGACTGGGACCTCTGGCCTGCACTTCTCCCGTACTCCTCGGGCACAGAGGATGGAACATCCTTCCCAAAGGTGGTGCACGTCGCCAGCCCTGCTCCAAAATCTCACGTTACTGCCTGACAAACACTGTGCACCCGGGTCTGGCTCACCTCCTGCCCCATAGTGAGGCCGGCCCTCCCTTTCTAAGTCAGTCTCCCCCAGCCCGCCATGTCTTGGCACCAGCCATGCCAGGCTGCTCGCTGTCTTCTGGGCGCAGCCCGGCCATCTCGCCTACGGGGTTCTCTGCAGGCGCCTGCGCTCCCAGGCTTAGCCTGGGCCTCCTGTCCACAGCAAAATCCTCCTGACCCCTGTTTAAAAGCACAGCCCCTTGCTTTGCTCTCACACAGTTAAGGCTTCCGGTCCAGCTCTGACTCTGGCCCACAGTGGTCTCTCCCCTCCTCTTGATTCTGTCACACGCCCTGCTCCTCCTGCCTGTCTTCCCATGCTAGTCTGCACTCTGCAGGATCTCACAGCACGGAAACTCTGAGCTCCTTCAGAGCCCAAGTCTTCAGTTCTCTGTAGACTTGAGGACAAATGGAATTGTGTCCTGACATGGGTCCCAGGCCCCAGGGTGGCAATTATGCAGATGGTTTCTCCCCAGTTTTTAATCCTGCCTAAGGAGCAGTTGAAAAAGCACCTGTGGGGGGCGGGGGGAATTCTCTGCTCCTCTTAGACCTCCTGTGGTGCACAGGTAGCTAGCCCATCACCCAGAGGAGCAGAGAGAACTGGAGAGAGCCACCACAGCTAACAAGTTTATAAGAAAAAGCATCATGTTTATTGGTAACACGGGCTGGCTAAAAAGTATATAAATAAATAAAAGGAAGCAGCGATCCCTGGAAGCAGTTATAGACGTTCAGATGACTTGGCATTCAGAAGGAAGGGGTTCAAGCTTGGCGATAAACCCAAATGAAAATTCTTGGCAGAAGCCTAGGCCTGAATAATAGAATACCACGGGAATGCTAAGAGAAGCAGCCAATCGTAGCGTTAAATATGGAGCACCCAAGAGAGGACTCCCCATGCGATGAGTTACCAGTGGGGTAACCCAGAAGTGTTAGGAAGCGGAGAAAGTGACTGCCCATTAGGGAAAAGGGCGCTTGGCCGGTCAAGCAGGCACACACTGAACGCAGCAAGGAAGCGTTCACGTAGCTTAATAGCTTACTTCCACCCACGTGACTGTGGATGTATTTTATTGCTTCCAAATATCTCAACAGGCAAACAGCTCCAAGCAGCTCAGACGAGGCAAGCATTCTCCCAGGAGCACTTGTGAACAAAGGCGGTCTGGCTGAATTAAAGAGCAGACGCCACTAGGAGAGGCACTGAAGAGCTTCTGTGATTTCTGGTGCTGTGTGAGCACGCGCGGAGATTTTTAGGGTGTCGGGTTCAGAGCCCTGGTGAACTTAGAAAATAGCTTTGGCCAAGAGACTCTCCCTCCATGCCTTGGTTTCCTCCTCTAAGATAGACGTGATGAAGAAGATGATGATATGCAGGCTAGGAAGAGGATGATACCTGTGGCTCGGAAGCCAGAAGAGGTCTGCGCATGACACATCGGCCCCTAGTAATAACGCTGCTTAGTACCAACACCACTGGAGGGGGAAGCAAGCCTCGTTGCTTAAGCCTGGGTGTGTCCTGAGTAGCCCCCTCCTAACTCCACCCCGACTGATGAAAGAATCCAGTACAAGAGAATGGAGGTCCTGTTCTGGGGGCCCTTGTTTTTTTTTTTTTTTTTTTTGGTAGGTCACTTCCCTGTCCCCATTCCCCACGGACTGTATTGTTTCCAGTCATGTCAGTAATACCCCCTGGGCATCACCCATATTTCAAGCTGTGTGGTAGGTGCTGGATTCTGCTAATTTTCTGCAAATGGCTGGACATCTGCGGTAAGAAAGCCTTAGCTCCCCGTCCTTTTTAGTTCTACCTGCTCAGACTCTGGTGCCAGACCAGTGAACTGGCTCCCTGCATGACTTGGAAAGAGGGCAGGTTTCATGTCATGTGGACCCACAAGGTGGGGGGGGCTGAACTGTCCGATGTTTGGCGTCCCTTCCAGTTCTAGGGTTCTCTGCCAGGCAGATGTCAGACAGAAAAGGACTGTGCTCCTTTGTGTCCTCAGGAGGATGGAGAAAACCACCACGGGAGCCATCTGAGAAACGACTCCTTCTAGTCATTTCTGGGACCCTCAGAGGGGCAGAGTGCCTGGGTGTCCCCGTCACCTTGGGAGGAGTCGCTTCCCCGCACAGCTGACCGCACAACACAGGATGCTGGAGAGTCTGCTCTCCCGACGGGGCTGGGAGGGACAGCAAATCCCCACTGCGCGCCCTCCCGCCGCCTGCCCGCCCTGGCCCTCGCTCACCTGGTTGTGGACAGTGTTCAGCTGGTTGTTGAAGGTCATGGTCAGGTTGGTGGACGTGCTGGGGGCCACGTGTGTGATGAAGGGGGTTTTGCTCTGGTTCACCGTGTCGTACATGTTCACCCGGCGCTTGCAGATCTCCATGTTCTGGAAACATGATTTGACGCTGTTCAGGAAAAGGCAGAGACCGGTGAGAATGAGACCAGGAAGAGGTAGCGCAGGGCCACAGGGGAGGAGGTGGAGGACGGTGAATGCAGCGAACAAGACACAGGAGAAACTGCCCTTGGGGTCCAGACTTCCCGGGGTTCCCACGCCAAGTTTGCATGTGCCAGGGGCGGCGTTGTTTAATGCATGTCCCCCCTGACCCTGCTCCTCCCATGCTGGGCGGGGAGCCATTCTCCCTGGCACCTGCCTCTGTCACATTCCATTGCCAACCTGTCTCCATCGTCACCGCTCATCCTCAGCGTGCCGCGTAGTTCTGGTCCACGAGCAAACACCTGAGTTCTCTGACAGGAAACATTAAGCAGCAGCTGCCTACCTGCCTTCACCTTCTCAAAAGACATCTCGTGGGCACCCTTGCCAGCCACTCCGGAGCACCGGCACCACCTAGGGGACAGCCAGGGAACTAGCCAGCCTGGCACGGTGCGGGATGGCGGCTTTCCCCACTGGACTTGAGCACTAATGAACAGTAATCACACTAATAATTAATAGCAGCGGCCAACTGTGATGGAGAGCTGTGGCGGTTGTTTGCCAGCCTCCTTTCACTCGGTCCCACAGCCACTATGAGGGGGAGACACAATGACTGCCCCAATTTTCTGAATAAAGGTGAAGCTTACAGTTACGGGATAGGGAATCTGCCAAGGTCAGGAGCTAATTACTCACAACCTTCACAGATCCTTTTTCTTTCCTAGTTCTTGTCCAGTTACACGAAATTAAAAATTCTCTCCCTCTTTTTCTCCTTCTGTTGCATTCGTCAATCAAAACAAAACCCCAATTATGAAGGGAAGGTGTAACTGATGCTGACGCCAGCGTCAAGGAAAGGTGGAGCCACGGAGGCCCTGAGCGGAGAGCTCTGGAAGAGTGTGGCAGCGCATCCTCAGAACGTGCGGGCGGGGGCTCGTGCACCTCGCTGTCTAATCCCCAAGCTGACCTTTCCTCACCTGCCAGCATTCACGATAATCAGACCTCCTTTAAACTTCAGTTTTAAATATTTTAATTTTAATGAATGTAACAAGTGAATATAAAAAACAATGGTTTTCCGCTACGGTAAGATATACATGGATACGATTTTGCATACTCTAGATGAGCTATACTTGGGGCCAAGCTTGTGGGGTGTCCTCAAACATCCTTCCATAAAAGATGTTCTAAATGGACTTAGACATGCACAGAGAATCCTCTTTCTGAGTTAATGGCTAATCACGCTGCTGCAGGACGCCATGCAATGAACAAGGAAAGGAAAGAGACCGACAGGTACCCAGAGCGGAAAACTGACAATGCTGGTAATGCCCACCTGCTCCGAGCATCGATGAAGCACCAAGCACGCTGCTAAGTGCTCTCACGTGGAGGCTGAAGGACTACAACAATGAAGACTGAAAATGTTTAGACTTAGAATTTTCTAAGTGAGGTGGTCTGGGGTTTCAGGGGTTTCCTGGGGTTTCAGGAAGAGGCAGTGTAGGGGAAATAAAAGGCATCAGGCTTTTCTGCCCTCCCGCCTTTAGGACTGATGATGGATCCCTGCGGTCCTGAATGCATGCCTGATGGCGGGCACCTGGAGTAGGGTGTGGGCCTAGGTAGATGGGATTCACCTGGGCTAAGACTGGGCTTATAGGGGCGGCGTCATGGGGACTCCAGCAGAAGCAAATAGAACGAAAGAACGGAACAGCAGAGAAGCAGAGGCCACGAGAGGCCGGAGAGCCCAGATAGAGTGAAGACTTGCTGGGGGCTGGGAGGCCTGCCAGCCTCCTGGCCCCCTGGCCCTCCTGCTTGCTGTGTACCTGGTAAATCCAAGTAAAAGCCTTCAAAACCGACCAAGAACTCCAGGAGTCCTCCTTCACCCTGTCTGCTCGAATCATGGAGATCCTGCTCCGTGTCCTCCTGCCATTACAGGCAGGCACATTCCCTACAGGAGTTCTTAATGGAATTTGTGTGTGAGGATCCTGGTGAGGAGCAAGCAGTGGGTCTCTTTCACCTATTCATCTAGCTGCTGGGGCAGCGGGGGGTGGTGGTGGTGGTGGATGGGGTGGGGTGCTGGCAGTTTCCACTTGCCACAGACTCCCCAGTTCTAGGGGCCATCAGGGATTCGGCCACCTCTCAGGTGTGTGAAGAGACCTGTCTTTCCTTCTGAGACCCATTTTCTGAGTCTCGGTTGTCAGTGCTTCTCTTGGGCCCCACACCGAATTCTGAATTTGAAGCCGATGCTCCAAGCTCGGCCTTCACCAAGCAGAGTGAAGCATGTCACTGCTACTTCCTTCCAGAAGCTGGAGACGGGCAGCACCCAGAAGTCTTCAGCCAGGCCCAGGCTTTGTGTGGCGGCTGTCCCCCAACCCTGCGTAGGTGGCTGACCTTCCTCCACCTCTTACCCAGGGCTGTCTCTCAGTCACTCCACTTCACCCTTGAATATAAAAAGACTGCTCTGACAGGAGCCCTATTCAGCAAATCACCAAGCTTGCTTTCCTTTCAGGGTATAGAGACTGACACCCCTTGGCTCACCCCCACCACGCCCAGAAATGAGACAAATCCTGTAAGAGTTTGCAAGGGATTGACCTGACTTCCTCCTTTGTGCCGGAGCCCGGCTGTCTCAAACATGTACTAAATTAAACTGCAATGCGACTTGACTTGCTTAATAGCAACTGGTAAGGAACAGACCTGCAATAGAGGAAGCAACGCCCGCAGCGGGTGCCATTCACCCACGTCTTGCATGTGCGTTCAGGCCAAGTCCAGCCTCGAGACTCAGCCCAATCTGAGTCTGGCCACAGCAGGGCCAGCGTGCTCCACAAACGCCCCTTCTCCCCACCCAGCCTCTGCTCACACATTCCCTCCCTTCCTGGCCTAGCGAGCATCTTTCCCTGCTCCACCCAGGACGTGGCTGTTTATTCTTTCACATCCCAAGTACCTCAGGGTTGAGAAGCTGAAAAGACACCCCCCCACCCCCCGACCTCCTGTTAGGGGATGATTTATGCCCCCCCATTCATATGTTGAAGCGCTAACCCCCAATTCGAAAATCACTGAGTTTGGAGATGGAATCTTTACAGAGGTAAAATGAGGCCACTAGGGTGGGCCCTCATCCAACTCCTTAGGGGGAGGAGGAAACAGGACACAGACTTGTACGGGAGGAAGACATGGGGAGAAGGCACCACCCAGAGCCCAGGAACCAACTCTGCCAAACATCTAGATCTTGGGCTTCTGGAATCCTAAGAAAATGAGTTTCTGCTGTTTAACCCTGCCCACCTAGGGAGACCGCAGAGGTCCCACTGCTTCCCTGCCAGACACCTGGCTTCTCAGCTCCCCCTCACCCCTAGCGGGCTGCTGTCCACCCCGGCCACTCGGGGCTGTCAAACTGGAAACCATTCTACTTCCCCAAACTGCCCACCGAGCACCCCGTCCCTGGCCGTGTTCTCAGCCATCTGGCTCGTACAACTGTCACTGTAATAGCCAGTCCTGGAGTCGATCAGATGGCTCCGTCTCCTCGCACCCTCCCTTCCCGCTCAGCCTCCCACAGCCAGCCTCTTGGATGACGACGGCTCTAATATCAACATCATACATCTGTCCATCGGTTTGCTCCTCTTAGCAGCCTGGCTAGAGGCCAACCTGGATGCACCCCGCGATCTGCTTTCTCCAGCCCTTCCCTCGGGGGCAGCCACAATCCACCCTGTTCACACACCACCTCAGTGCTCAGTCTGCCGTCTTCCTCTGCTCACCCCGCGGCCGCCTCCGCCCTGACTATCTGATCCTTTCTGCCCTTCCTAAGCCACCAACCGCCCTGGTCTCAACAAGAGAAGGATGAAGCTCCCCCAACTTTGTTCTGCTCCCTCCTCCAGCCACCTCCCGGTGACACTGGCCTCTTCCTCCCCTGAACACCTCTTATCCATCTCTCACTTGCTACCACACACTCCCCTCGGCTCTTAGACGTGCTCAGGTCTCCACACTGAGAGATGCCCCACTTCCCAGCTGTGCCTCTATTTCTTCCTCCTGTTTTACAGCCTCCCTCTTGAAAGGGAACCATCCATTTCTGCCCTTCTCCCCCAGTCTTTCCAGTAGCTAAAAGGGTTTCTGCTTCTGCCATCCTCTGGAATAGTGCCCGAAGTTACCTACCACCTCCAAGGCGCTGGGGCCGATGGACATTTCTTTCCAGCTTCACTGGATTTGTTAAAAGGCAAGTCTGACTGGCTGTACCCTGCTTAGGGATCCTTTCATAACATCCCCTTGCTCTTGGGATAAGGCCAAGATCTTTACCACGAAGTGCTTTCCCGGCTGATCTGGGGCCTCATCTCCCCCATGCACCCCAGCTCAGTCTGCCCATGTGGGCCGCTCTGCGCAGGCGCTGCCCTGGCTGCCCTCGTGGCCTCCTCACCAGCTGCCCCCATGCACCCTTGGAAGGTCTGGTCCTCAGGGCTGCCCCCACGCCCCAGCACAGCTCCCCACGACATGCCCCCTTGCAACCTGCACCTCCCCTGGCAGCAGCCTGGTTATTGGGTGTTATTTGTTACCGTTCTCTCTCCTATAGACACTAAGCTCCTGTAGGCCAGGGCTCCCCCTGCACCCCAGCACCTGGCCTAGCACACAGCATGCCGAGTCCCAACCAGCCCGAGTCCACGCAGACGGCTCCAGAGCCATCTGGCCCTAAACATGCCGTTGCTCCAAGGCCACTGCCATCTGGGCACCTTGTGGCCTCAGGGCCCGTCACTGCCTGGTGCTCGCCTCGTGCCATGGTTCCCCCCTCTTTGGTGGAAAGCAAACTGAGGCCCAGGTCCCCATTTGTTCTGCTAAATCACGTTTTGGGAAGACAGCCCCATTTGGCTAGAGCTGCTCTTGCCTCTAAGGGCAGACCTGAGCAGCTGTGAGAGACACTGGCCACAAGCCTGAAGGACTGATTCTCTGGGGCTTAAAGGGATGTTTGCCGGCGCCTGGCCTGAGTGCGGAGCAGGACACCTACTGTGTGCTGTGGGGGAAGTCGAGCAGGTGCGCCATGGTGACGAAGGGGTGGTTCAGGGTCTCGATCGGGGTGATTCTCTTATCAGCGTCTATTGTCAGCATCTTTTTCAACAGGTCAATGAACTCCCGCCGGTCTGCCTTTTCCACCAACATGTCGCTCCCTTCCAGATCTGTCGTCATGTTCACCTGGAAGCAAGCGGGGACAGGTTACAAGACCCCATTGCTCCTCCCTCTCCCTGACTTCCCATATCCTCCGCCCTGCCAGTCCAGCCTCATCTCTCTGTCACCCCATCAACCCCTGGAAGGCTGCATCTGCCCTGTTGAAGGTGCTGCCACAGCCTGTTGCTGTCCGGAGGCTGCGGTCTCTGCAGGCCGGGCTGGGCCATGCACCGGGAGGGGGCGCCACTGGTGCCTGCTGAGGCACAGATGGCTGCGGAGTCTGCTCCTGCTTTGAGGGTCTCATCGACCCCACTGAAAACAAGAACGACGAAAGACAGTTCTGGAGACTGGCCGCCTAAGAGCGTGTGCAGGTGCTTCACACTACTGAGTGGCACGCTTCAAAGCGGTTAGGATGTTCAATTATATGCAGTGCCCTCCCACCCCCACCACAACCAAGCAGGAGGAAATCAGGAGCACGGGTCTGTTTATTGAACCTTCAGGGGAAATGTGGGGGCCTGAGTTTCTTCTTCTTGCACCCACGGCCTGCACCCTCTCATGGCTGCGAGTCGAGAAGGGCTTTTGCCCTGTGCTCACTGGTCGCCTCTGGCCAAGACCAGGCGTGGGTTTTCTTCTGAAGGCACGTCTGTATCGGGCTTGCCTTTAAAAGGCTTGCCTGGTGATGCTTTCTGTATTTTCCAAGACATGCTCTTGGAAAGCAATTTCAGTTTTCTCAGACAATCTAAGCTTCTAATCAACTGACAAGTATACTTTACTCAGAATCATGATTTTTGGTTACACTCATCTGCAGTAAGAGGTGCGCTAAGTGTTTATTGGACTATAGTGTTACTTCTCATTGCTTTTAAGAAAAACTCACTTTGGGTTGCCCTGATTTTAGACTAGTTTTCACGCTAAAAATAGCCAAAGTTCCAGAATTTTCTCTGGAACGCACAAAGGTGAAAGCAAGCTGAGAGAGACAGAGCATGGGCTGAATTCTGTTCCCCCGAAAGAGCTGCTGAAGTCCTAATGCAGGTACCTATCATGTGACCTTATTTACAAATAGGGCCCTTGCAGATGTTAAGATGAGGCAGCACTGGAGTCGGGGTGCACCCTAAATCCAATGACTGGTGTCTTTATAAGAGAAGGAACAGGTGACCTGGACACAGGCTGGAGCAAGCGCAGGGGTGAGACTGAGTGAGGCGCAGGCAGAGGCTGGAGGGAGGGAGCCCCCAGCAGGCAGGAGAGAGGCAGGGCCTCAGGGGAGCCTGGCGCTGCTGAACCCCTGATTTCAGGCTTTTGGCCTCCAGGACTGTTCGAAAACAACATGTCTGCGGTCTGAAGCCTTAGCTTGTGGTGCCGGGTGAGGGCAGCTCTGGGACTTAAACACCGACTCACGGGCACTAAACTCAAACGCACAGCCCAGCTTCACGTCTCAGGAAAACCCACGGGACTGGCCCGGACTATTTAGAAATGGAAGCCGGTAACTGGCAGCTGTGTTCAAGGAGCCGGGGTGAGGCTGAAAACGTGTCCCCAAGTCAGCTGGTGCTCGAAGGCTGGCATGTCGAGGCGACAGAACCGGTCAGCCCCGTGGTGGTGGGGGGGCAGGGGTGTGACTGCCTACCCCCAGCCGGGCACCTCGGCAGAGCCCGGTCGTGCTGGGTTTCAAAGGGCAGCACCCCCTACTCCCCGGCTTACCTGCGCCATGTCATCTAAACAGTTGAAAATGTACTTCCTCGCTTCTTTCGACTTAATCCCCGTTTCTGCTTCATGGTCATCCGGGGTCTGCTCGAGAGAGACAAGGGCGGGTTGGCATGTGGCTCATCTCCTAGTTGCTCTGACTCAAACCCTGAAGCTTCTCCCGGGTCAGCGGAGAGTTTGGTTCTTCTTAAAGTGACCTGCACATTAATTCCTCTTGCTCTTCACCCTCACACTAACTCCCTTCTCATACCTGCTCTGAGTCTGGCCTGGAAGATTCTAAGATGAGTAAGATATGCTGCCTCCTGACACCCCTACATTCTTCCCTAAGTTTAAGGGATAAGGTAAGAGTCCACAATGTTACCTCTGTTGGAAAAATGAAAAGGTAAGACTCCTCTGTAAGGAAACGGAAGCCCTTTTTCATGCGTTTTTACATTTTAATTTAATTTGGTTGAATCAACGCCTGTGCACATGGCTCTTACTACGTGCTGGGCATTATTCTAAAGTGAGGAGCTCAGTTAACCCCCTCCGCGGCCGTCTGGGGTAGGACGACAGGCACCCAGTTTCCAGGGGGCGAGATGGGCACAGGTCACAAGGCCCAGAGGTGGCTGCAGGCTCGAGTCTATGCTCCCGGCCACCCCGTCCGCTGAGGGCTGGGCCACAGGCATGCGGTCCCCACAATGGCCTCAGCCAGGGAGCCGCTGCTCCCCATCACTACTGTGGGTTTTGGACTCATCTAAGGATAGAAAGTTATTCATCCTTGAACATTTCACTTAAGGGCACACACCTGGTGCTGCTGAGAGCTGGGCTTTGATCCCGGGAACAGCTGGACAGACAGGACTGAGGCTCTTAACTAAGACGTGGGAGTGAAGGTGTTCCTACCTGGCCTCACCCTCCTCCAGCCAGGACTCTCCACTGGACTTGACCTTGGGCCAGTCACCCTCACAGGCGCCATGCGCCGGCCCTCCCCTCACAGCCTGGGTGTCCGCTTACCCCCTGAATCTCCTTCCCAAATCTTTTGTGACTGTAGGCTACACATGATCTTTAAATCGTATCAGAACTTGGCTGTGGTTTCTGTCAGAGACACACACACAAAAAAAACAAAAAACAAAAAAACAAAAACCCAAAACACCCACCTAGCTCTCTTGCCAACCCCCCCCCCAAAAAAAACTACAATGAACATAAAACATACCCAAGATTCTACTCTTTACCTTCCCAGGAAATGCATCCATTCTAATCACTTAAACACAGATCAAAGCAAAAGCAAAGTATGTTTCCACTGAAGTAAAACCACCCAAGAGTTTAAGGTGTGAACAGGACTCTGCCCCACTGCGGGCTGGCGGGACCAGCTGGGCCTGGGGATGCAGGGCCCTTAAGCCACTTTCCTTGCTGGAAACCCTCAGGCTGTAGGCCAGCCCTCGCCCCTCCCTGACCTTGCTGTGGGCTCCTCGTGGCTCCCATCCTGTTCCTCCCAGGGCACTTGTTACGGGGCTAGAGTCTGGTTCGATCTCACGGACCGTAAACTCCTTGAGGGCTGGGGCTGTTTCATTTCTCTATTTAGCACAAACCTAGGACACCCAGGTTTACTAAATAAAATCCAGGAGTTGTAGCAATCACAGCTGAGGGCACTTGAACCTGGTGGGCGGCGGCAGCGGAGGCAAGAGGTGCTTGTGCACACTCTGCTCCATGCACACCAGGCCGCGCGAGAGGCCTCCCAGACGCTGCCCCGAGCGAGATCCAGCGACATGCCATTTCCAAAGCACACCCCCATCCCCTGCACCCTCCTTCCGGGGTGTCGGGCGTCAGCAAGGAGTGGGAGGTTCTGCCTACCTTCAGCCTCCACAAAGGATATGGCGAGTCTGTGTCACGGTTGAAAAACCGAGTTGTCTTTGTCCCCGCGCTTAATAAATATTCAGCCGGCAAGCCTTGTGTTTGTGAAATATACCGAATCTGCAAGAAATGAAGAGAATGAGGTCGGGACTTTACTGTCACCGTACATATGGGATATTAATGGCTCTAGTGCCTCTGAGAAAAAGTGAAAACGACAGTTGTAAAGGGGAAGAAAGGAGTGAAAAAGAACAAGGATACAGAAAAGCCAGGTTCAGGGGTGTGTGGTCTGGGGACCCTTGGCCAGCACCCCGCTCTCTGCACCCACCTGATCGTATTCTGATGCCCCCGGGTAGAGCGGCCAGCCGAGGAACAGCTCTGCGATGACGCAGCCCAGAGACCACATGTCGATCGCCTCGCAGAAAGGTAAACCGAGGATGATCTCAGGGGCCCTGAAACACAAGGAGGAGAGGTGATGAGTCGCAGGCAACGCGGGGGGCTCTTTTGATATGAATGCCTCGTAGAATCCTATCCTGCAACCCCCTGCAAACCATTACTCACCCCCTCATGCTGTGGGGCACTGATCCCCCCAGTGTTTTGGGGTGATCTTCCCCATTAGTGGGGAACTGGCTCAGGTGGGGCTTGGCTGAAATGCAGGGTAGGTTGTGGCAGTAGAACAGACTTACTGGGAACCACAGCTATGGCCCCCCATCCCACCATACCCCAACCGGACCGAATCATGACTGTGTTAGAGGCGTGTGAGCAGAACCTCGCTCAGTCTCTCAGAGCTGAAAGCCGGGGAGACAACCTTTCGGTAGGAGAGCCTGGTTCTTCCAGAGGAAGGCTGGAGTGCAAGTGTTCTGCCGTCAGTGGGGGATGGGACAAGTTGCCTCCACCCAGGATAATGGATTCTGGCCAGCACCCCTTATGCCCACTATCCCTTTCTGAAAAATGCGCATCAAACGTTGGAAACATTGTCTTTACGATTTCCATTTCTCTCCTGTAATGTCACAATTACAGAAACTTTTCCATGAGAGGCAGGCTGGGGGCTGCCTGAAATTCCATTACGGTCTGTCCCTTCACCGGCCAGCCAAGTGACAGGCTGGGGCGTCTAAGGAAATCGCCTCAACTCACCGAAAAGACAGGTATTTGGTGGTCAAGACCACGCAGACCACAGAAAGCAGCTTCTTCCCTAACAATTTGTCGCGATGAAGCAAGGGGTGCATTTGAGAGACCCAGGCTTCAAGTATGAGATATAAATACAGTTAATTTTGTTTTTAAATGTAGCTGTGCTGACAATAAAAGCCTTCGCCTGCAGCTCGATGTTTCCCTAGGTTTCTGGTGACTTGATTAAGCTGGGGAGATGCTCCCTCCTGCTGGACCCCTCAGCAGCCAGGAGGGGGCAGCGCAGGGCCCTGGGGGTGTGGGGGTGTGGGAGGAAGCCTGTGCGCAGGACGCCTCTGCTAGTTTCCCAGCTTCCAGCTGAACCATTCCATCCACTTAAAAACCACCGCCCCAACTTCCTCCTTTACGTTTGCTCTAATTGGGAACTTTTTTTTTTCTCTGTAATAATCTGAACAACAAACCCCAAGATGTCTTGTTACAAAGTCTCGGTTTTTCAGATGTAAGAATCTGCTGGTGCTTTAGGGCAGCCAGATCCCTGTTTCCTTGGTCAAGACTGGTCTTTCCTGGCTCGGGAGGAGGGGGAGCCGCTGTCTGTCTCCCCGAGTGCTGGGCACCTTCCCTGCTCCTGGCCCTTCACCCCATGGGTCCTGTCTGCTCCCACCTGGTCGCCGGCCCTCGTGTGAGCACAGGAGGCTGCTCCCGCCCCGGCCCGGATGCACTGGGGGCGCCGTGGCTGTCTGGTGACACCTTGTTGCTGCACTGTCTGGGGTCACAGGGCCCCATCCCCACAAGCGGCCTCGTCGCCCAGTCCAGTGCACCCACACACGCCAGGGCGACCAGGGCCAGCTGCCCAGTCAGCGTGCACACGTGATGAGAGCACCGCGCTCAGTCTCATTAAAGATGGTTTGGGTTTCGCTGCTCCCCTCAGCAGTGTATTTCAATCTGCCTGTTCTGTTCCCCACTCTGTCTCTGGTGAATCCTCTCACCCCTTCCCCCCTCATCTCTGGCCTGTACCCCAATTCTTATATGCATAAAATTAAAAAAAAATCTTAAAAAAAAATACATCTGTAGAGGCTTTATAGCCCCTAGAGGAGATACAAAGATGTAAACTTACTTTACCTCAATAAACAATTTTGGGGAAAAAAAAAAAAAAGATGGTTTGGGTTTACTGAGAAAGACGCATCCCTTAGAAATGTGGGGGGCATCTGAAAAGAACATGGCAGAGAAAACAGCCTGGCTCTAACATATAGGGGGGTCAGAACTGGCTTTTCTCTCTGTTCCCGTTCTAGAGCCCCTCACACATGGACTTTCTCGGGAGAGGAGTTCTTGACCTGGTTCAAGAGACACCCCTCTCCCTGGCTGGGGTCAAGCGCGTCCATGCGGCCGCCCCGTTCCCGTCACCTGGGCCCTGCCTCCAGCAGCCTGGACGCTGGTCTCGACGTCAGGTCTTAGGAAAGGCTGGTTTGGTGGCATTTTTGGATGTGACCATGTGCCTGCCCTCCCACCAGTCAGCTCAGTCACTGCCTCTGCTGCCTCAAGAAGACCAAGGGGAGCCTGCGGACACTTTCCCAGTTTCTGTCTCTTGGTGAAGGGCTAACTCAGCTGACAGGCTCCAGCATCTCCCATCAAAAAAAAGCAGGGCCTCCCTGGTGGCGTAAGGGGTTGAGCGCAGCACTCTGAAGCTGTCCGCAGCCTCTACAGTGCAGGTTCGATCCTGGCTGGCCAGGGCGCTACCCACATGGCGCAGCAGACCTCTTCTGTCTCGCCCGCTGCAGTGTATTTCAGTCAATCTGCCTGTTCTGTTCCCCACTCTGTCTCTGGTGAATCCTCTCACCCCCGCACCTCTGGCCTGTACCCTAGTTCTTATATGTATAAATGGATAAATCTTAAAAAAAAAAAAAAGGCAGAACCCAAGCACCAGACAAGCTAAACCATTCCTCAATCCTTTCATCTCCCTGTAGCTGCTGCCCTATTTTTCTGCTCTCCCTTCAATGTCAACTCTCTCTAAAGAAAACACTAATTCGAAGAGGTCTATGCACCCCATGTTCACTGTAGCACTATTTTACAGCAGCCAAGAGCTGGAAGTAACCTAAGTGCCCACTGACTGACAAATGGATAAAAAATATGCAGTACAGATATACAAAGGAATACTACGCAGCTGTCAAAAAGATGAGCTCCTGCCATTTGCAACAACATGAACCGACCTGGAGGGAATTATGCTTAGTGAAATAAGCCAGAGAGAGACAAACACTGATTTCACTCATCTGTGGTATATTGAGAAAACAAACAGATGAAAGAGATAAAAGAGAAACAAACTTTTGGACTATATGACCAGCAGTTACCAGGAGGGAAGGGGCAGGAGGTAAACCAGGACAATGGTCTGGTGCAGGGTTGGACTTTGCGCAGTGAACGTCGAGTAGCAGATGGGCCATGAGGCTCACGTCCCGTGGTAACGCAATGCTACTTCAGTTTAAATAAAAGGAGGTAATCTCCCCACCCCCTCTGGCTGGGCTTCCGCCCTCCGCTCCAGCTAACGCTGCCAGAGCCGGTCAGGGTCAGCCGTGACCATGGTGCACACCCACTGGTCAACTCGCAGTTCCAGGGCCGGGGAGCCCCGGTCTCCCCACACCGTCGACCATTCCTCCTTCCCGTCTTGAAACACCTGCTGCCCACTCCCGCCTGCCCGCGCTTGCCCTGCCTCCCGGGCTGTGGCTGTCTGCTTCCTTGGCTGGCTGCCTTCCTCTTTCCAAGGGCGATGGCCAAGTCTGGCGCCTCTTTTCCTTCTCTTTTTTATCCTTGTTATAGGTCATTAAGGGTTGATGTCCCCGCCCCCCCCCCACCACCCAGAAAGAGACATGCTGAAGTCCTGCTCTCCACCACCGCATAATGGGAGCTGATTTGGGGGTGTTAGATGGACCCAGTCCCGGTGCGGTCAGGCGGGAGCAGGCGGCCCTTCGTCCAGTGCTGGTGTTCTTAAGGGGGGGAGGTCTGCATGCAGACAGAGGGAAGCTGGCCATGTGGCGATGCAGGAGGGGTGAGGGTGATGGGGGTGGGGGTGATGGGGCAGGGTAGGGGGGCTGGGAGTGATGCTGCCACAGGCAAGGGCCTCGGAAGCTGGAGGCGGCCGGCAGGGTCCTCCGTCGGAGGCTGCAGGAGGAGGGCCCTGCCCCTGCTCACACCTCGGGCCTGCGCTTCTGGCCTCAGGGACATCCTGTGGCACTTGCTTCAGCACCAGCAGTGGCATCCACACCCACAGGTTTAAATTCCATGCGTTTCCGTCTTGGACTTCTCCGGCTCCAGATGGCTGTCCCGGTGGCCTGACACAGACACCTCCGCTGCAGTGTCGCGATGGGGCTCTTCTCTTCTGCCGCCCCGCCCCCAGAGTTCCTCTTTGGTCTTCCTTGTTTCACTGAATGGAATCACCCTCCAGCCCCAGCTCCTCATGCTACGCGCTGAGCACGACCTCTGGTCCTGTCTCTCTCCCTCATCCTCACCGTCCCACGCACCACACGCCGCCAAAACATCTCTCAGATCAGCTGGATTCTCCGCCTCCCCTGCCACCACTCAGCACCCAGACGGGGCAGCCGGAGGAGCCAGCCACACCGCCCTCCTAATCCCCTGCCCTCCAGGATCCCAATTCCACACAAGAGTCCCCTGGGCCGCCGCTCTCCTCCATCTCTGCCGGCTCCATCGGCTCCAGCCCATCAGTTTTCCTTCACCTCTAGGAGTCCTCTGGCCCCTCTGGGCCCGGCGCCTTTGCAGTGTCACCACTGATGCCGTGAATGCCCCTGTCCCTGATGCCTCGGCTTCCCGTCGCCCTCAGCGGCAGACAGGCTCCCTGGACACCGCTCTCCGCTGCCACCGACGTCCCCTGGCAGCACACCCCCAAGAACCTGCCCACTGCGGTCTCCCCGGCGCCGTCCACGAGGGCAGCACTGCGCTGGCAGCCCGGAGCCGCTCAGCCAGCAAGGACTGTGGAGCAGGGAGCCTTTATTAAACAGAGGAGGTGCCCAGCTGAGGTGACTCAGATGGAAAGTTTTAAGGAGGCAAACAAAGCACAGTGGAAGGGGCAAATCTCCATGGAGGAGGGAGGCTTCGGCAGGGAGGGCAGGCCTAGGGCCGGGCACCTGAGGGTTGGGGGACACCCACCTGTAGGTGTTTCACAAAGGAGTTACAACAAAAAAGACAGAGAGAGTGGGAGGAGGGGTGCCTGGGGGCGGCACCAGGACAATGCAGGGCCAGGACTTCCAGGCCTTAGAGGCCTCAGACTTCGCTCTCGAGTGTGTCTCTTCTGCCTTCTCTTGGAGTCATTACCCTGCGCAGCGTC